ACTGCATTGCTCTCACCCTCAACACAGGCCACAGTACTGCTGAGGCGAGAAAGTGCTTATGTCAAAAGAAGAATGCTGGAAGTTTGCAAATTTAAGTCTGGTAAGTGTAGTCTGATATAGATCTATGAAGTGCGTGTATCTTTATCACAACGTTTATAGAGCACTTTTAACTTACTGAAAGTGTCTTACAGAAACAAAAACTACATCTCATCATGTCCTTCAGTGAAGGAAATGTACCATCCTCACCTGATCTGACTAACATCCAGACCCACTGCAATGTGGTTCACTCTCCTTGTTGGAGGTCAGTCATCTCAGCCCCATGCATCTCCACAGGAGTTCCTCAGGGTAGTGTCCTAGGCCCAACCATCTTCAGTTGCTTCATCAATGACCTTCCCTCCATCACAAAAGGTCAGAAGTAAGGATATTTGCCGATGTGTGTATGATATTCGCCGATGGACGTATGATATTCAGCACCATTCCCAACTCCTCAGATGCTGAAATGCAACAAGATCTGGATAATATCCAGGATTGGGCTGAAAAGGTGCAAGTAACATTTGTGACAACAAATCCCAGGCAATGACCATTGCCAATGAGAGATAAATCTAATCACCATTCCTTAAATTTCAAATGGCATTACCATCACTAAATCCCTCACTATCAAGATCTTTGGCGTCACCATTGACCAGAAACTGAACTGGACTCACCACATAAATACAGTGGCTACAAGAGCTGGTCAACGGCCAGGAAACTGCAGCACATAACTCACTTCCTGACTCCCCAAAGCCTGCTCACCAGCTACAAGGTAAAAGTCAGGAGTGTGATGAATACTCCCCACTTGCCTGGATGAGTGCAGCTCCAACAACGCTGAAGAAGCTTGACAGCACCCAGGTCAAGAGTACCATGCTTGATTAGCACCACATCCACAAGCATCAAATCTCTCCACCACCAATGCTCAGTAGCAACAGCGTGTACTAGCTATAAGATGCACTGCAGAAATTCACCAAAGATCCTTTGACAGCACCTTACAAACACATGATCACTTCCATGTAGAGACCACTGTAGCAGACGCATGGGAATACCACCACCTGCAAGTTCCACTCCAAGCCACTCACCATCCAGACATGGAAATATATCGCTGTTCCTTCACTGTCTATGAGTCAAACTCCTGGAATTCCTTCCCATGGGTTTTGTGGGTCAAGCTACAGTATGTGGACTACACCAGTTCAAGAAGGCAGCTCATCACCACCATCTCAAGGGGAACCAGAGACGGGCAACAAATGCTGGCCAGCAAGTGATGCCCACATCCCAGGAGTGAATTAAAAAACTATGATCCTGAGCCACAAAAATGCGAGGACAGTTTACCTCAACCTTGGTCAAAGTTATCTTAAAGAAAGAAAGCAAGTTAAAGAAGGTCTGCAGAGTCATAGACTCAGAATTCCAGGGTTTGACAACTGAAAGCATAGCCACTAATGGTGGAGCAATATTGCTTGGGAATATACAAAAGCCACAATTACAGGAGCCCAAATGCTCACTTGGATAGTGAAACCAGATGCAGAGGGCCAAATAACGTTCTTCAGTGCTGTAACATTTCTGAGATTTTTTAAGTATCTTGGAGGAATTTGGAGTTTGAGAAATAGGGTCAGGAAAGGTAAAGCCATAGAGGCATTTGACAACAGACGAGAATTTTAAAATTAACAGGCTGCTCGACTAGGAACCAATTTAAGTCAGCAAACATGGGGGTAGATAGGGGAATGGGACTTTGTCAGAATTAAAGCATGGAGTAGAATTTTGAACGACCTCATATTTTGGGTAAAATATGGGAGACCAGCCAGGAGACTACAGGAACAATGAAACCTAGGAGGTTTCAAAGACATCAGTTTTCTGGCAGATGATTGATCCTTGAGGGATATCAAAAGTAATGGTGCAACAGCAGGAAGAGAAACCATTACAGCGATTCTCTGCCTACAATTAGATAGATAAAAATATGGAATTACACTACAGCAATTCCACTCAACTGGAGAGCAGTTGAGAGACATTGCATGAGGGTGGTGTAATCAAACCTATCAAAGGCTTCAGACCAGCATTCCTGTTAATTTTATTATTTCTTCTGAGTGGACTTCAATGGAACTGGAAGTCAATGCTATGAATGGCATCAGGTGCACAGACTTTCAGAGCAGATGTGCCCACTTCTTACAGGGAACGTTGCTGCAGACAGGTTGAATAAAGGGTGAAGTGGCAAAAATGGTCATTTGGACCTTGAATGTGAACCACTTTGATACTGTGGCATGGTAGTTTGGGGGTGGGGAACGCACATGATTGAAAAGATTCATGCATGGCATGTGGAGAATGATGGGAATGAGTTGGCAGTCAAAAAATAGTTAACTTAGGAGCTATATTTGGAGGGTAAAGTTCAGTGATCAGCAGCCCACATAAAACTTCTATTTACAATTGGTATGCCAACAACTTAAGTAGGAATAGTGCTTCAACCTCCATTAATTAGCTGTTTCAAGCAAAATCATTTGTTTCCACTTATGGTGAAGCAACAAACCAATCCCAAATAATCATTTTGATTGGTATTAGTGTAACCATTATAGCTATGACAGTAATAAAACATGATGCAATTTTATTTTCATAGAAATTCCGAACATTAAAAGGGAAAATGTCCTTTTTGGTGATTGGTGAACATGCTCACCAAACCAACGTGGCTGATAGAATACCATTTTTAGATTCAAGCACTCAAAAACTGTCATTTCTAGAATGAAAAGAATTAAAATTCAAATCAGTGGAGTTAGACATGAGACATGTGTGTATGTTGGACATATTTATGCATGTGAAGTGCACTTTGCAAAGATTCGCTGTTGTAAATTGCTAATTTTACAACAATGGGATCTTTCCTATGTTTTTTGCTTTCATGATTTCTTATTTGTAAGTATATCTGGACAGCAAGTTACTTTTCACAATAGGCTACCTAAACTGTCAATGTGACTCTGGAGATGAAATTTTGGGTTTGTGAGCTATGAGGCAGTAATGGCTCCTGTGGAGCTCAGACTGACTGCGTATATCTAGGTGGTCCCATTAAATCCCTGAACTACTTTTTCATGGATGTGGCCACATGGACATATCTTTGAGGCATGATCACAGCTTCAAAAAACAAGAAAAGAGCTGGTGGAAAGGTAGGTATTTGATATTTTTTAAAAAATACCTACTGTTTAATTACTTCTATGCTCAACTTCACGCCACACCCTATTCAACAGCCGAGAACCACTCCTATGCTCAATTCTCATAGCCCACAATATTCTGTTTGGGTTCATGCAAAGTCTGAACCATTAAAACAGGGTCAATCTGGGAACAAGTTTGGGATACACTGTTCTACAAGTTAGTTTAACTGTGATGTTCTCTATAATTCTTTTTAAGGTGAAGCACAGTTGGCATTCTAGACACTTTTCAGGAAGGAATTTTCCATAATTGTGCTTTAAATTCCAGGTTATAAGCAATGCTGTTGACTTACACAAACTGTTACAAAGATGGGCACAAAAAAATGGTTTTGTGAAAGACTGAACAGTACCATCATTCATCACTGGTCTTGAATCAAGAGTTGCATATATTTTGTATGTATAAAAGTCCATAAGGATGCCATTTTTCTCGATTATTGAGTCAGAATCATACAGCATGGAAACAGACTGTTTGGTCCAAATCATCCATGTTGACCATACAGGCCAATCTCACCCAGTCTCATTTGCCAGCATTTGGCCTATATCCCTCAAAAACGCTTCCTATTCAAATACCCATCCAGATGCCTTTTACATGTAGTAATTATACTTCCTCTGGCAGCTTGTTCCATACATGCACCACCCTCTACATGAAAAAGTTACCCCCAAGGTCCTTGTTAAATCTTTCCCCTCTCATCTCAAACCTATGCCTTCTACTTTAGGACTCACCCACCCCAGGAAAAGACCTTGGCTATTCACCCTGACCATGCCCCTCATGATTTTACAAACCTATAAAAGTTCACCCCTCCAATGCTCCAGGGAGAAAAGCCCCAGCCTATTCAGCCTTTGCCTATAACAAACCTTCTAGTCCCTGCAATACCTTTGAAAATAATTTCTGCACCCTCTCAAGTTTAACATCTTTCCTGTAGAAGAGCGATCAGAATTGTACGTAGTATTTTAAAAGTGGCCTCACCAATGTACAGCTGCAACATGACATCCAAACTCCTACACTCAATGTTCTGAACGACGAAGGCAAGTGTGCCAAGTGCCTTTTTCATCGCCCTATCTACCTATTTTCAAGCAACTATGCACCTGCACCCCAGGTCTCTTCGTTCGACAACACTCCCCAGGACCTCACTATTAAGTGTATAGGTCCTGCTCCGATTTGCCTTACCAAAATGCAACACCTCACATTTATCTAAATTAAACTCCATCTACCATTCCTCGGCCCATTGGCCCATCTGATCAAGGTCCTGTTGTACTCAGATAATCTTCACTGTGCATTAAATGATTAAATGATGAAAAGCAATGGACCCAGCACCAATCCTTGTGACACACTGCTGGTCCAAAAAACAACCCTCTACCATCACCCTCTGTCTCCTACGTTCAAGGCAATTTTGTATCCAATTGGCTAGCTCTTGCTGGATCTAATGTGATCTAATTTTACTAACCACGCTATCATGTGGAACCTTGCCAAACAGTTTATTGAAATTTCCTGTGTGAAAAAAAAACGCAAGGGTTATAGAGCTCTGACAGAGGGCTGCACAGTCATGATGTGCTGAATGGGCTCCTTCTATGCTGTAACCATTCTATAAATTTATTTTTCCCCGAAGCATTGGCGGGAAAATTGTCAGCTGGGAAACAGGACCAATGCATAAGCTATCTGAAGTGAGTAGAACAGTGGAAGTTCAGAGGGATACAGATCCTGGCTGTTTTAACAAATAGGCCACATTTTAATAATCTTGTTCCTCCTGACTCAGACAGAATCCTACCAAAAACCTCACTACTTACCTCAGCCTGCTCAGTTCACCTCGTTGTTTTCAAGCAAGCTTCGCTGGCAGCTTAAATACTATTAGATTTAAGTCATTGCTCTGATTTCCTGCAGCACAAGCTTTTAGCTGAAACTGGCAAAGATAAAAAGTTGCTCTTCACAAATGGTGTAGTCTGTTGCCACAAGTGGGTGATCTTAACCCCACCCACACCTTTTCTGATCTACTATCCTGTTTAATTTTATTTGTTAAGATGTAGATGATATTTTCCTCTACCTAAGTACATTCCCTCACGTTTCTGTACTGAATGTTTATTTGCTCATTAACTACCCAGTCTGTGGGATTTCTGATATTTTCCAGCATTGCAGGCTATATTATTTCTCAGTATTATTCCTAAAATCCAGTTTGGTCTAATCTGCAAATTTTAACGTAAAAATTACTTGCACTCAGAATCAACCAAATAACCAAATGTTATTGAAGATGTAACTTTAAAAAGTTATATACAAAGGAGATCTCTACATGGAAATGGCAGTGAGCTTACATGACTTTGTTATGCATGACATATATTTTACAAGTTTGATTAAAAACTTAATATTAGGGGTTCTAGTGGCACAGTGGCAGTGTATGTACCTCAGGGCCAGGAAACTCATTTGCTCCACAGGTGGGTATTAACATTTCTCAACAGGTTGAGTTAAAAACCTTCAAACTGATGGAATAAATTGGAGCCCAGTCATTTGTCTGGCAAAACTAGTTGCGTCGTGCATTGCAATGGTTGTATGTTATTACATCCTTAATGTTTAGTTACCCCAATTTAAAAACAAAACAACTTGTTAAGTGCAACTTGGTTGACTACAAATATGTACACTTACAAAAATACTGTTTTTGCACAACTGGCTGTTCTCTTGATGTATTCTAGGCAGATGAACTAACCGTAAAAGAAATTGCAGTTTGCGTCTCAATGTTGCAGTCGTAAGCCCACTACCTCTTGTGAGTCAAGCCATTGCATACTAGGAGATTCCACTCCTAGTCTATGCTATGACCATCTGCTCTCAGTTTCAAATGCACTGGCTCAAAAAAAAATTCATTGTGGTGTTGCTTGTTAACTGACCACACTTACTGACAGGAATGTGGAAAACAATCCAGAACCAAAGCTCATCAGCAATGGCCTCTATGGTGGAATAACATGATCATTCATTGGTGTTATTGAGAACAAAAGACAATTCAGACAAAATATTGGAAGCTGATCCATCATAAATTAAAAAACAGAAACTGCTGGAGGAATATTCTGTTTTTAATTCAGATTTCCAGCATTCACAATTTTTTGGTATTTTTGTCCACCATAATTCAACTCCATCAGAAGACAAAACAGGAGAAAACTGACAAGAGTGAGAAATTAGACCATACGACCATAAGACATAGGAGTAGAAGTTAGGCCATTCGGCCCATCAAGTCTGCTCCGCCATTCAATCATGGCTGGTAAGTTCCTCAACCCCATTCTCCTGCTTTCTCCCCATAACCCTTGATCCCCTTGATAATCAAGAACCTATCTATCTCAGTCTTAAATGTACTCAATGACCTGGCCTCCACAGCCTTCGGTGGCAGTGAATTCCACAGATTCACCACTCTCTGGCTGAAGAAGTTTCTCCTTATCTCCGTTCTAAAAGGTCTTCCCTTTACTCTAAGGTTGTGCCCTCGGGTCCTAGACTCTCCCACCAATGGAAGTATCTTCCCAATATCCGCTTTGCCCAGGCCATTCAGTACTCTGAATGTTTCAATTAGATCCCCCTCATCCTTCTAAACTCCAATCAGTATAGTCCCAGAGTCATCAAACCTTCCTCATGTGTTAAGCTTCCCATTCCTGGGACCATTCTCATGAACCTCCTCTCTAGGACCAGTACATCCTTCCTGAGATATGGGGCCCAAAACTGCATGCAATACTCCAAACGTGGCCTGACCAGCACCTTATAAAGCCTCAGTAGTACATCGCTGCTTTTATATTCAAGTCCTCTCAAAATAAATGCCAACATTGCATTTTCCTTCCTGACTACTGACTCAACCTGCAAGTTTACCTTAAGAGAATCCTGGACTAGAACTCCCAAGTCTCCTTGCACTTTAGACTTGTGAATTTTCTCCCCATTTAGAAAATAGTCCATGCTTTCCCACATTGTACTCCATCTAACACTTCTTTGCTCACTCTCCTAACCTGTCCAAGCCTTCTGCAGCCTTGCCACCTCCTCAATACTACCTGTCCCTCCACCTATCTTTGTATCATCTGCAAACTTAGCCAGAATGCTCTCAGTTCCTTCATCTAGATCATTAATGTACAAAGTGAAGAGTTGTGGTCAGCACCGACCCTTGTGGAACAGCACTCATCACCACTACCATCCCGAGAAAGACCCCTTTATCCCTACTCTGCTTTCTGCCAGACTGCCAATCTTCTATCCATGCTAGCACCTTGCCTCTAACACCGTGGGCCCTTATCTTACTCAGCAACCTCCTGTGTGGCACCTTATCAAAGGCCTTCTTGAAGTCCAGGTAGATAACATCCATTGGCTCTCCTTGGTCTACCCTGCTCATTACTTCCTCAAAGAATTCTAACAGATTTGTCAGGCATGACCTCCCCTTGACGAAACCATGCTGACTTTGCCCTATTTTGCTATACACTTCCAAATATTCAGAAATCTCATCTTTTACACTGGATTCCAAAATTTTGCCCACGACCGAGGTTAGGCTAATCGGCCTGCAATTTTCCGTCTTTTACCTCACTCCCCTTTTAATTGGGGTGTCACGCTAGCGATTTTCCAGTCCTCTAGGACCCTCCCTGACACTAGAGATTCCTGAAAGATCACCGTTAACACTTCCACTATCTCTTCAGCTATCTCCTTTAGAACTCTGGGATGTAGTCCATCTGGTCCAGGTGATTTGTCCACCTTCAGGCCAATCAGTTCAACTAGTACCTTTTCCTTGGTGATGGCCACCATACTCAGCTCTGCCCCCGGCTCTTGAAGTTTTGGGATATTACTAGTGTCTTCCACCGTGAAGACTGACGCGAAGTAATTATTCAGTTCCTCAGCCATTTCCTCGTTCCCTACTACTATCTTTCCACCGTCATTTTTTATTGGTCCACTGTCCATTTTTGCCTCTCTTTTGCCCTTTATATACCTAAAGAAACTCTTACAGTCTTCATTTATATTACTGGCTAGCTTACCCTCATATTTAATCTTCTCCCTCCTTATTTCTTTTTTGTTGCCTTCTGTTGGTCTTTGTAAGCTTCCCAGTCCTCTGGTTTCCTACTGCCCTTTGCCACATTATATGCATTCTCTTTTGCTTTTATGCTATCCCTGACTTCCTTAGTCAGCCATGGTTGTCTCATCCTCCCTGTACCAAGCTTCTTTTTCCTAGTGATGAATTTTTGCTGCGTCTCCTGAATTACTTCCAGAAACTCCTGCCATTGCTGTTCCACTGTCTTTCCTGCTAAGCTCTTCTTCCAGTCAATTCTGCCCAGCTCCTCCTTCATACCTCTGTAGTCACCTTTATTCAGCTGTAATACCATTACCTCTGATTCTATCTTCTCCCTCTCAAATTGCAGTGTAATGTACACAATAACAAACACCTAACAGTTTGCCAATAAATTGTGCAGCAAAATAAACACAATCAAGAATGGCTTTCCTCCAAGTAACTTTTGTTTTAATTCATTCATGAGAAAGAGGTCTTCTTGAACTGCTACAGTCCACATGCTGTGGATTTACTCACAATGTTGTTAGGAAGGGAATTCCAGGATTTTGACCCAGTGACACTGAAGGAACAATGATGTATTTCCAAGTCAGTATGGTAAGTGTCTTGGAGGGGAACTTGCAGGTGATGGAAGTGATTATGGATTTGGAACGTGTTGGCTAGGGACCATCGGTGAATTTCTACAGTGTGCCTTGTAGGTAGTACACATTGCTGCTGCTGATTGTTGGTGGTGGAGGGAATAGATGTCTGTGGCTGCAGTGCCAACCAAATGGACTGCTTTGTCTTGGATGCTGCTAAGCTTCAAGTGTTGTTTGAGCTACACCCATCCAGAAGAGTGTGGAGTATTCCATCACACTCCTGACTTGTGCCTTGTAGCTGTTGGATAGTCTTTGGGGAGTCAGGAGGAGAGTTGCTTGCCACAGTATTCCTAGCCTCAGACCTGCTCTTATAGCCACAGTGTTTATATGGCGAATCCAATTGAGTTTCTAACCAATGGTAACCCCCAGGATGTTGATAGTGGGGGAATTCAGTGTTGGCAACACCATTGAAGGTCATGGTGGGTGTAGTTAGATTGTCTCTTACTGCTGATTGTCATTGCCTGGCATTTGTGTGGCATAATGTTAATTGCCACGTGTCAGCTAAGCCTGGATATTGTTCAGATCTTGCTGCATTTCAACATGGACTACTTCAGAATCTGAGTTTTCAGTATAAGCACCATGGTGAATAGACTTTTATTTCCAGGGATTGTACAACAAGTTAAGACGAATGCAATGCATCTTTTCCTGAACAGCAGTTCAGGTGTGTATATTAAACGTTTCAGCAATCAGAGTGTAGTTATGACATAATGGAGTATGCCAATTGTCTGGGCAGTATCTACATTGCTTAGAATAGTTATATATGCTCTCTTCAAAGAACCGAGAGCCAAAAGAAAGGAAATACATAGGAAAGTTTCCTGAAGGGAAAGTTAAAAAAGACAAAGATAGAGTTAACTTTGTATTTAGTGCTAGCTACAGCTAATCCAAGAGTTCTTGGTATTGGGGTATAGGATTCATAGGATCATAGAATCCCTATGGTGCAGAAGCAGCCATTCAGCCCATCAGGTCTGTACAGACACTCCAAGAGGGCATCCCACCCAGACCCAACACTACTGTCCCCCATCCTACCTCCCTTATCCTATGATAACCATGGTTAATCCATGTAGATGGAACAGCCCTAGGCACTTCTGAGCAATTTAGCATGGCCAACCCACCTAACTTGCACATCTTTGGACTGTGGGAGGAAACTAGAGCACCCAACAGAAACCCACAC